TTAGCCAATGGGGGGCGTAGCAAAGGTATGGTCATTTTCAATCTTTGTCTATTATTAGATAGGATGTGTAATAAATACCTACTTTTTTGCACTAGGATTAAAATGACTAGAACTAAATTTTTTAAAATATATTTTTATTGATTTTAGAGAGGAAGGGAGAAGGAGAGAGAGAGATAGAAACATCAATGATGAGAGAGAATCATTGATTGGCTGCATTCCACATACCCACAACCCTGGCATGTGCCCTGACTGGGAATTAAACTGTGACCTCCTGTTTCATGGGTCCATGCTCAATCACTGAGCCATGCTGGCCAGGACTAAAATTTTTTAAATACTTCAATTCATCATTGATAATCTCATTAGTATACCTGTATGTATTGGACATCATGATTGCATTCATACTTGATTGAATGTAAAAATAATACATAAAAATGTGGGTATTTCTATCATACCAGTGTTATAATAGTTCTCATTTTTAATCTCTTGTCCTTATTTCTTATCTGTCTATGAAGGGCTTTAACTAGATTATCTCTTAATTTCTTTATAATCTGAACATGCTATACCTTTAGTTCAACTCATGAAATAAAATATTTTCTTTATTTTAACAGGTTCTATGGAGATTTGACGGCAAGAAACCAGATACCTTAGGGCCAAATACTCGGCTCTATAAGTGGATCCCCCAGAATGACATTCTTGGTGAGACTGAAAAACAAACACTAAAATAACAATAACTCCAAAGAGAGTGATTATACTTCCAAAAGAAACAAATTTATTGAACCTTTATTTTACAAAAACTCAAAAAAAAAAAACCCTTAATTTCCTTGTATTTGTTTGCCAGTCCTGGGAAAAAAGGATAACATATAAAAGCTAACATGTTATTATAGATCATCTCCTCCCTTATGTCTGAAATCAAGTATCTTTATTTCAGGTGTAATTACTTCTCATGAAGAATTTTTCAATAACTACCACTCTGCCTCCTACTTCTCCCTTCTTATTCCTATTTTTTCCACTTCTGTATGGGTATTCATTCATTGCCATTAAAAAATAAGAACACCTCATTTATTACCAGTGACTCCATTTTCAATAAAGAATAGCCATAATCTTTTTCATGAAGTGATGAAGTGTGGTCTGTTCTTCATCTGATTCCAGAGTCACCACACTCACATTTCCTGCTGCCTGGACACCCCACACGTAATACCCCACACATAATACTCGGTGGCTACACTATTTCTTTAAGAGAATATGTTCTAACATGCCACCTCCTTTTCTTTTTTCCTTTTTTTCTGCAAATGCTATTTTTTATTCATAATGTTCTCTTTCTTTTCTTCAAATTTATCTTTATTGTTGAAAGTATTATAGTTGTCCCTTTTTCCCCCCATTGGCCCCCTCCACCCAGCACCTGCCCCTCGCAGAACGTTCTCTTTCAACTTGTCTATCCAGCAATCTTTTATTCATTTTTCAAGTCACAATGCCATACCAGTATCTATTTACCTCTTGAGCAACTAAAGTTCTTCTTTCTCTGAGATCTAAAATATATTTTAATGTAGGTTCATGTGTATAATAATCTGTCATCTAGAATACAGTGCCTGAGTGTTTTTCTTGCCCAACTCTCATTTTATTTCTAAGACTTATAATTAGTAATTTACTGAAATTCACCCAATCTTAGGTCATCCAAAAACCAAAGCCTTTATAACTCATGGTGGAACCAATGGCATCTATGAAGCGATCTATCATGGGATCCCTGTGGTGGGCATCCCTATGTTTGCAGATCAACCTGATAACATTGCTCGCATGAAGACCAAGGGAGCAGCTATCAGAATGGACTTCAACACCATGTCTAGTGCAGATTTGCTCAATGCATTGAAAACAGTCATTAATGACCCATCGTGAGTACCACAATTTTAATTGTATTTACAGATTCTTTTGTCAATGATGAGTACAAGTTTCACCCCATATTGAGAGATTAATTTTGAAATTATTAACATGATTTTACCAATCTTAAATCTGCTTTTATTTTCAACCAGACATTAATTTCACAGTTGCATTTAACCTGATTGAACAGGTAAGCAATGACTGCAACAATTTTCTACACAAGAATACCCAAAGTTATATTGGTCACTACAAGGACACGTTTTTAAAAATATGATAGAACCTATAGAATGATGGAATGCAGAATTCAAGGAGTTGCATAAAATATTTTAATTTAGTGCCAAACATTTCTGAAACTATAAATCTTGTGGACAAAAAAGGGGGTTCCATGGAAAGTACTTCACAGGGTGATCTGATCATAAATTCTTAACTAGGCAGGTCATGATGAGTAGACATGCTCCAGGCCTGTAACTTATTTACTGAAAGTTTTTACACCAGCCCTGCCCATTGTTCTTGTGCATCTAGGTTAATACTACTTTAAAATACCTGAAATAATACCCCTCAAAAGTGGCACTGCCCGGCTGGCATGGCTCTGTGGTTGAGCATTGAACTGTAAACCAGGAAGTCACGGTTTGATTCCCAAACGGGGCACATGCCCAGGTTGCAGTTGTGAGCTTGGTACCCCGTGGGGGTTGGGGAAGAGGGTGTGGGAGGCAGCTGATCGATGATTCTCTCTTGTCATTGATGTTTCTATCTCTCTCCCTCTCCCTCTCTGAAATAAAAAAATATATATTTTTTAAAGGAGGGGGAACATGAACTCTCAAGAGAGCACAAAATCTTATTAATTGTATCCTTTAATCCAATCCCTGCTTTGCTTTCTCCAACTTCCTGT